CAATTTCACCAACAAGCACACCGATAGATTGGTACCTATCGGTATTTTATTGAGAGTTGAAAAATATTTACCGAATTGTGCCACAATCATCAATGGAATAGTACTTATCAATATTTTATAGAGTGTTGCAAAAAAACTATAGTCCCTGCCACAATCTCCAACAACTATACCGATAGATTCATTGACGATTGGCGAACTTCCTAAAGCACATGCCTGTCAGAACGTGTGGTCTATCGGCATAGTTACAGATGGATTTGATGACGGGTACATTTACCGATGAACCGAAAAGTAAGGCGAGATTTTCAAAATTTTTGGTGCTAATATCAATTAATTACCGACAGAATTTAATGCCACCGACAATAATAAATGTTCTGTTAGTAATGCCGTAAAAAAAATTGCAATATAAACCCCCCCTATTTGGTTCATTTTTGCTCTCGACTCTTAAATCTTCATCTCTATTTCTCCTCTCCTCTCTGTTTATATTAAGTTTTTGTAAGAGGTTTTATTGTTTTGATGGTATGTATTATTCTTTTTTTTATCTTTGTATTTTTTTATTTTTTTAATTATGATTATTTTTTTGATGTTCTTTGTTTTGTGTATTGTTTGTAGATAAAATCTTAAAATCAACACACTATTAAGGTAAGCATTTTTTATTCCTAAATTGATTTTGAATTTATGTAGTGTTGTTTAGTTTTGTGTATTATTTGTTTTGTGTTTAAGATGTTTTGTGTAGTGTTTTTTAGTTTTTTCTTTTTATTTATTAATTTTATGATATTATTTTTTGTATTGCCATAATTGTTATTGTTGAATTTATGTTTTAAATGTCAATTGAAATATAGAATTAAATTTAATTAGTTTATCTTAATTTTTGGATATTATTGTTTGTATTGCTATAATTGTTATTGTTGAATTTATGTTTTAAATATCAATTGAAATATAAAACTAAATTTAATTAGTTTATCTTAATTTTAGGATATTATTGTTTGTATTGCTATAAGTGTTATTGTTGAATTTATGTTTAAAATGTTAATTGAAATATAGAATTAAATTTAATTAGTTTATCTTAATTTTAGGATTTTATTGTTTGTTTTGCCATAATTGTTATTGTTGAATTTATGTTTTAAATGTTAATTGAAATGTAAAATTAAATTTAATTAGTTTATCTTAATTTTAGGATATTATTGTTTGTTATGTTGTTTATTATTTTGATTACTTTTAATTGTTATTTATGTTCTTGTATTGATGTTAGTTGAAAATATAAAGATGTTGAATTTCTATAGATGTTAGGTTGTATAAAGTTGATTTTGCAATATTTATGTAATTATCAATATTTGTAAGTATGGAAACTACAGGTAGTTTCTAATATAGGGGAGATGTTGTCGAAATCTTTTAAATGATTGAATTTCTATAGATGTTAGGTTGTATATATATGATATTACTGGAGTCAATTGGATTGTAGTTATTGTAAAGATTGCAGGTTTGCAAACTATGGGTAGTTTCTAGTATAGAGGAGGTGCTGCCGAAATTTTTTTAAATAATCAAAGTTAATTATGTAATAATTCATATACATTTATACAGATGCATCGAATGAAATCTACAGCATGTCATCAGCAGACGGTTGCAACTAATTCTTCTAGCAGCAAAGAGAAAATCTCTTTAGGTGCTGATTATGGCGATGTATTTGTGCCAACTTGTGATCCTGCCTCTTCTAGCGCGGTTTCATAGCACAGAGGCGGTGTGCCTTCACAGCAGGGTCAATTCACCCATAAGTACCAGTCATAATGGAAGGATGACCTCTCACTGTAAGTTTGTTTAGCTTTTAGTTTTTTTAATATACTTATAACATAATTTATGAAAAGATAATTAATATTTTATTAATTTAATTTGATTTCAGGTTCACAAACATTGAAGCTGCTATGACAATAACATTGGCATTTAAATCATCAATGGAGATTCTATTGTTTCAATGGAGTCAGGTTTCCAAACATCTCGAGTGGAGACCTGATATCGGTGTATGGATTCAATGATTTCAAGTGTTAACTTTTAATTTCCAGCTTTTTTTAATAAATTATTTTCATAATTTTATATCTTGTACTATTTTTATTTTAAACGAATTATTTACATACAGAGCATAAATTTGAGTGGGATAGTGCGGATAACAATGTTGTCAGAAACGTATGGAAGAATCACGCGGCAACTAGGTAATATTGAAAATAATATTAATTTTTTATTTATAATTTTATGTTCTAAATTCTAATTAGTTACTATGGAAATAGGTTGCGTGATTTTTGGTATGACACCCACAGAAGGCAAAAAGATATACGAGGGACAACGATCTTAAAAGATGGAATGAGGTGGCGGTTTGGCGGGAATTCAATCGTCATTCATCTTGAGAGATATATGGGCGGCATATATTGAGCACGTGACGTCTAAGCGGTTCTCACGACACTCACAGTCTAGAGCCGACAACCAGAACTGCCAAATTCATAGTTCGGTGACCACACACACCGGTGGCTCTGTCCTGTTCAACACCTATGCAAACTAGATGTAAGATTAATTTAAATAAAATATATCATTAATTAATTTATTGTTGCTTATAAATATATTTAACTTGCAACCTTTTTTGTCTTTATAGGCTACGTCTCTTGGACGTGAGCCGAGTCCAATGGAGTTATTTGTAGAGACATACGTGTGGAGTCAAGATCGCCAAAAGGGGGTGTAGCAGTATGTAGACAATCATGCTTTGCACTTTGTGGAATATTCATTCAATCATTTTATTTCTTAAGTTATTATTTTCTTGAATTGAATATAATGATTTAAAAAAAAATTAAGGAGACAAATAATAGCCAATTGAGGGAGAGATATAGGGATGATCCTTCAACCCATCTTGATTTCGATCTGAATTTGTGGATGGAGGTCAGATCATTTGGTGAACCCGACAAAAATCAGGTCTACGAGCTCTCCAACTCTATGACCGAAAAATTACAGTTGGCCCGTAGTATCTCAATCATTGGAAGCTCTCCATCAGTATCGAGCACCCAGTCAGAGGAGTTCATAGCCTTTAAACAACAATATGAACACCTCTCGATGGATTATAATCAACTCCGTCAAATGGTCATAGAGATGAGATCAAAGATGGATGATGATCCATGTGATGTTCCTTTTTGGTCGTACGGTCTCGGCAACAACCAACCTCCTCCTTCTCTTCCTCCTCCTCCAACTTCACCGCTATTTTAGTTTAATTTTTTTTTTTAAAACATTAAATTTGTAATGAATATTATTTAACATTATTTTTACATTTTTAATATTTAATACAAATTTATTTCATTATTAAGTTCTTTTACTGTTAATAAATAATTTTTTTAAAATATTTAAAATAAATATCAATAATTTTCCAAATGAAAACAGGCTGTTGGTATTTTACCGAGAATTGCTAAAAAATTTCCAACCAAGCCACAATCACCGACGAATATATTTCGTTAGTATTGACCGTTACTATTACCGACAGATATATCCGTCGATAATTATCGATGAACATACAAACAAAATTATTCCATTAGTAAAATGCTCGCGTGAATTTTATTTTTTTTGCAAGCTTCATTGTCTGTAATACCATTGGTATTCCGTCGGTGTTTGGTTTTTTTAATTTCCGACAAAATTGGCGACATAACGGGAAATTACTGTCGATCGAAATTCTGACGAAATCATTCTGTCATTGAACCCGTCAGTAACAATATTACCAATGGTTTTCGTGTCTCATATCGACAGAATGAACCCGTCGGTAAAGCTGTTTAATCGTGTATTGTTGGCCAATTGGCCAATGACTTAATTTTAGCCAATTTCCAGGTCAAGATTGGAACTGTAAATAGATTGATGGACTCCTAAGGATGTTACTTCCAAGGGGAAAAAAAAAACAGTTATACCAGAGTCTTTTATTTTTCCAGTAATAGAAAGGTTCTCCAGAAAATTAAATTAAAATTTTCTTAATTGCTTAATTTGATGAGCTTGTTATTTAAATCAGTACTATAATTCGGGGAAAAGCTTAAGGATATCATTTAATTTGTGTCTTGGCTAATTATAGAAATAGAAACCTAGGTAAACTGACGCTAATTATAGAACAGAACCACTGCAGCCTAACTACGTACAGACCAAACACAATACCTATGTATGCACTTAAACCTCCTATGTACAGGTAGCATTTAACAGTACAAAACTGTTTTGTTAGAAAAAAAAACACGGTGTAAACATCTATCGATTCAGTTAAACCTCCAACAAACTAGGGTATAAAGTAAGAGAGCTTCTCACAATTACAACATCAGACAATAAACATCTTTAATCATCGAGTTGAAGCTTTTATAGATTTTGTTGATAGAGAGAAAAAGAAATACAATTACATAGCTTGAATTGGATATAATGGCAAATGCGTCACTCATTTTGTGCATTATAGTGGCCTCCTTTGTTTCAAAGGCTCTAGGGCGCCACCATCAGGAGAGGTCAAAATTAATATAACAAGATATATTATTAAAAAAATATTTATTTAAATTAAAAATATTATATTATTTAATATTTAAATACTAAATAAAAAAATTAAAATATCTTGCTAGGATCGGCCATGCTTGCCTCCCCTGGTTCCGCCCGCTGGGCACCATGGACGTGCCGACAGAAAAGATCCCAATGAGAGAGTGTTTAACGTGTTACGTTATGGAGCACATCCTGGAAGAGTGGATAACGCACTGGTTTAGTATTTTGGATCGTAAGTACTAATTAAGCTAAGCAGGAAGCAAAGTTTGATTACAAGGGTACAAGTATTCATGGCATTAATAGCATATTTATGGCATGAATTTAATTGTGTTAGAAGAAATACACATTTGATAATTAGGGGTTTAAGCTATAATAATTTGTGGCATATACATCTGAACTTGCCATTGATTTTCTCATAAAGAAAATTTGGTGAAATTGATTGAATTGTGGGTTTGACCTTTGCGGTCTTTTATCCGAGCATGGAAGGCTGCATGCAATTATCGGGGAAAGGCAAGGCTACTTATCCCCAAGGGAACCTTCTTGATAGGGGCAACTATCTTTCAGGGACCATTAAGGTTCAAATTGCAGTAACTCTGAAAGCTGTACCAGACCCTAGCAAGTACGAAGAAGATTTCTAGATCTTGTTTGAAAACATCAATGGCTTCCTGGTTACTGGTACCGGCATTGTTGATGGCCAAGGCAATGCTGTCTGGAAATACAATGTCAGCGACGGTGGCGCCAAGTTCCCTAGTGTAAGCAACAAAATTATCTTGACATACATGCACTAACTAATTATTAATTAGAGAATGTTGGGATTAATCGCATTTTCATAATGATTCTTCTTTTTATTTTATTTGGGGTGCAGTCTACAAATTTCAATCAAGTAGTCAATGGGGTTATAAGACAGATCACCTCTCTGTCAATCCCACGGGTTTCCATATCCATCGTTCTGTCCCAGAACATCAAGGCCAAAAATGTTTGTTTATTTGCCCCTGACGACAGCCCCAACACTGATGGAATCCATATAAGCCAATCCAATCAAGTACATGTATCGAATAGTGTCATTGGCACCAGCGATATTTGCATGGGCATCATACATGGATGCACCGATATCCGCATCAGAAATATAACCTGTGGCTCTGAACGTGGTATCAGGTAATTAATTAATATCTATCTATTCAATGTTCCAGCTGCACACGCGCACACACTTTAAGTCAGTAATTATGCATTTGTAATTAACTCGTGTAGTAACCTGCAGCTAATAAACTTGTAATTCACAGTTCCATATGTTAGAGACCACATCAGCAAAGGGTCCTACAGCGTCCACTAACACAACAAATAAATAGCAAGGCCAGCATCACACCAGCAAAATAACAGCAGCAACAAACATCATCAACAGCATGCTATGCAGCATAAATCAAGCAACAAATAAACAGATTACTAGTACCACACCAGCAGCACAAACGTGCTGCAACCAAATCAATTCTGTTTTGATTAATTAGTTAAAGGCGCCTCCATCATAAGAGACAAAATAGTTTATTAAGATTAATAGTATATAAGCAATACTATACATGACTATTATTCTTTGAGCTAAATGCAAATAAGCTTCTCAAATCCTTCGTGTAAAAGTTCTCTTCATCATTTACTTTCTCCTTCAGTTTGTTACATGGTATCAGAGCAATAGAGAGCTTTATCCATAGAGGCTTCATTGGAAGATCAATCTTCTCCAAACACACCATATAACTCAAACACCAACCATACACAAAATGCTAATCAATATTTGAACCTTCACAGTCACAACAATCCCTTTCGGTTAGATACTGGTGACAATCCAGCCATAATTTTGGTCACAGACTTACTCACTGGCGACAACTATGCAACCTGGTCTCGTGCAATGCGAAGAGCTCTTCGTGCCAAGAACAAATTAACATTCATCACAGGAACTATCATCCAGCCAACTGATCAAGAAGATCCTCTCTTTGATTTGTTTGAACGATGTAATGACATGGTGGTTTCATAGCTCCAGAACTCTATCAGCAACTCTATCAGGTTCAACATAGCATTTGTCGATAGTGCTCGAGATGTTTGGCTTGACCTACAGGACAGATTCTCTCATCAAAATGGCCCACGCATTTACCAGCTGCGAAAGAGTTTAGCTAACCTTTCACACGAAACTGATCCTGTAAGTGTTTACTATGGCAATCTCAAAACCCTTTGGGGTGAAACATTGATCTATGACCCCATACCACCTTGTAGTTGTGGCACTATGAAGACTATATCTGAACATTATCAACGTGACTGTGTTTTTCAATTTTTGATGGGTTTAAACGACTCCTATTCTCCCATACAGGATCAAATCATGCTGCTTGACCCCATCCCCACCATTACTCGAGTTTTCTCTATCATACAACAGCAAGAACGCCAGCATCAGCTTACCTCTAACTCCACACAACATACTGCTATGGCTTTTGCCATTAGAAAACCCTCCTCCTTCATCACCAAATTTCCATCCCATTCTGAATACAAAAAGGAAAGAACCTACTGCACTCACTGCAAAATTATCAGACACACTTGAAACTTGCTTCAAAGTTGGCAATACTGAAGCCCCTATATGTTCACATTGCAACTTCACTAGCCATATAGTAGAAAAATGTTACAAGTTGAATGGCTACCCTCCTAGCCACAAATTATTCACTAAGTCCAGAAGTTCTCATGTTCTTGCAGCACAGTCAATTTCCACTCCTGCTACCAATATTGCAGATATCAGTGACACTCACATTGGTTTAACTAAGGATCAATACACTCAACTCATGGCTCTGCTTCCACCAGGGACATCTACCACTACTCATACCTCATCGCGACTCCATACACCTCCCACTTCTCATATCTCTGGTATGCACTACTGTTTAAATGCTCTCACACACACTACATCCTCATCCCATCCTATACCTTGGATCATTGACATAGGTGCAACAGACCATATGGTCTGTTGCCCCTCCTTTTTTACTACCATTGTCTCTTTTGCCTCTCATTCTGTTGCATTACCAAATGGAACACATGTTCCTGCTACACACACTGGCACCATTCAGTTAACTCCCTCTATTTGCCTCACACAAGTTTTATGTGTTCCTTCTTTTACTTTTAATTTGATCTCTATCAAAAAGCTGACAGTCAGTTAACTCCCTCTATTTGCCTCACACAAGTTTTTTGTGTTCCTTCTTTTACTTTTAATTTGATCTCTATCAAAAAGCTGACAGCTAATCTTACATGTTCTATCATCTTTCTCTCTAATCTCTGTGTTATTCAGGACCTTTTCTCTTGGACAACGATTGGGAAGGGTGAAGTGAGGAATGGACTCTATCATTTTGTCAACACCAACGTCTCCCCTTCTCTCCTAGCCAATACACTATCTCATTTTTCTACAAACTCTGTTGCAGCTTTTGTTTCCCATCACCACACTCCTACCAATTTATGGCATTGTCATCTAGGACATCCATCCTCCCCTGTTATGTCTTCAATTCTAGACCCTGTAGTCAAGAACAACATCTTACATATTAGTAAACAACCTTGCTATGTTTGTCCCTTAGCAAAATTTCATCGATTGCCTTTTTCCTCTAGCAAACAGCATGCCTCCTAGCCTTTTGAAATTATGAATTGCGATCTTTGGTGGCCATGTTCCATGCCTTCCTATGATGGTTTCAAATACTTTCTAACCTTGGTTGATTGTTTCACTCGCAGCACATGGCTTTATCTCCTTGCCATTAAAGCTGACACTAAACATAACATAGAATCCTTTGCCAACTTAGTTGAAAACCAATTCAACTATAGGATTAAAATTTTGCACAGTGATAATGGGGGGGAATTTCACATGAAAGAGTTCTTCCATACCAAAGGCATTTTTCACCAAACTACTTGTGTTGAAACACCTCATCAAAATGGGCTTGTAGAGTGGGATTGTAGAGCGCAAACACCAGCACCTACTTAATGTTGCTCGAGCTTTAAGATTTCAGGCCAATCTCCCTCTTCAATATTGGAGTGATTGTGTTTTGACTGCCACATACCTCATTAATCGCACACCTAGCCCCTTGCTTAAAAACAAAACACCATTTGAACTCTTATTCAACAAATCACCCTCTTATGCACATTTGAGAGTATTCGGTTCTCTTTGTTTTGCTTCCACTCTCTCCCACCATAGAACAAAATTTGATTCTCGTGGTCGCATTTCTATTTTCCTTGGATATCCTTTCGGCATAAAAGGCTATAAATTACTTGATCTCCAAACCAATACTATCTTTATATCTAGGGACATCACCTTCCATGAATCAACTTTTCCATTTCAATCCTTACCTCACCTCTCCAACGATTCATCTGACAACCCAACCTGTGTTTTTACTAAGCCTTTACCTGACACTCTAGATTTTCCTGTCATCCCTTCTCAACCTACACCCAATGATTTAGCTCCTTCTAGCATACATGTGTCTCTCCATAATATAAACTCACCAACCATAAACGATTCTGTCATCTCCACAACAGACCCTTCATCGGAATCTCCATCTTACACTCTTGCTATTCTACCTGGTGACTCTCCTGATAAAGTCCCTCGCCGAACTACCAGGGTCTGAAGAACACCACAATATCTACATGACTTCCATTGCAACCAGTCCTCACTTATTGTGCCTTCTCAATCATTGTCCAAGTCTGAGACTCCCAACACTGGTAATGTCTACTCCTTGGCAAACTTTATTTCTTATAAACAATGTTCTCCATCATTCACTGCTTTTTCTAGTTCCATCTTCATTCATGCTGATCCTATCACATATAAACAAGCTGTAACACATCCTGGCTAGTGCAAAACTATGAGTGATGAATTATTTGCCTTGGAACAAAATCACACCTGGATTGTCACTAACCTACCTCCTGGCAAATCAGCCATTGACTGTAAGTATGTTTACAAGACTAAATTCCTTGCTGATGGAACTATTGAGAGATTGAAAGCCAGACTTGTTGCCAAAGGTTTCACACAGAAGGTAGGTATTGATTACACCGAAACTTTCTCTCCTGTTGCAAAACTTTTTACTGTCAGGGTCTTACTCTTCATTGCAGCAATCAAAGGATGGTGTCTCTTATAATTTGACATCAACAATGCCTTTCTCCATGGTGACTTGAAAGAAGAAATATATATGCGCAAGCCACCTGGTTATTTTGTAGGCGGGACCAATCAAGTTTGCAAACTTCTCAAGAGTCTATATGGACTGAAGCAAGCCTTACGCCAGTGGTATTCCAAATTTTCTCTTTCTCTCATTGCTTTTGGTTTCACACAATCTAAAGCTGATTATAGCCTATTTACTAAAGTGGATAACAATTCGTTTACTGCCTTACTGGTTTATGTTGATGATATAATTGTTGCTGGCAATTGTTCCTCTTCCATCACATCCCTTAAATCCTTCCTACACAAACAATTTAAAATCAAAGAACTTGGCTGCTTATGCTACTTTCTTGGCTTAGAAGTTGCTCGATCATCCAAAGGTATTCATTTATGTCAGAGGAAGTATGCCTTAGAAATCTTGGCTGATTCAGGAACCTTGGCTAGTAAACCCCTCAAGCTGCCTCTCGAGCAGAACTTTAAGCTCAACAAAACATTTGGAGCTCCTTTATCAAATCCCAACTCATATCGTCGTCTTATTGGTCGCCTTTTGTACCTCATGATCACTAGGCCCGATATTTGTTATCCTGTCCAGATCCTCAGTCAATATATGGATACACCTATGATTAGTACTTAAAAGTGCATTTTTATCAAGGTTTTATATCATCATTTTGCACTTGAAGTATCAATAACTCCTTAACCAAAGCATGTTTTATAATAATATATTTAATAATATAAGATACCTTTAATTTATGGTAAATGTCTATTTTTAATGCAGGCCTATCACATAAATGAAAGGATTGATTGATGACTTGAAGAACTTAAATTGCAAGGATAAAGAGATGGCCAAACTTAGAAAAGAGATGTCGGTGCAATCCAAACCGGAACACTGTTCGGTAAATGGGTCATATCTGGAGCTATATATCTCAGATTTAGGTCAAATTTATATGGATGGAAAGGTAAGACATAGGCCTACAACTTTCATATGGAGCCCAAGATCTAAAAAGGCCATTATCAAGTCCAAATTGTAGCAACAACAAAGAAGCCCGAATCTGTCTTCCAGCCCGAGCACTGTTCGGTATTTTGGCCATATCTGGAGTTCTAGAAGTCCAAATGAGCTGAAGTTTTTACACAAGAAAGCTGAGACAATTGCCTACAACTTTCATGTTTGCAACTGGCTCCAGTTTTGACGTTATCAATGACGTTTTGGGCAGACAAGAGAAGATAAGGATTGTCACCAAGTCAAAAGTTGGTCACCCACTTATCAATTAGTCATCAAATCAATAGTTCCCATTTTTGGCCTATAAAAGGAGGCATTTGCCATGCATTTAGGCATCTTGGTGTTCAGATCAAGATCATGCTCTTCCTTTCTCTCTTTGTATTTTTTATGCTTTGTTTTCATTAATATTAAGTTTATGCCTTTCATTTCCTTTCCTTTACTTAGTTAACTTTTATGTTCTTATTTTGTTTATCTATTTTGCTTTCTTTCATTATGTCTAGCTAAGTTAATTATGTCAAGGTGAAAAGGTTACACTAATGGTGTAAGAATAAGTATAATGTAAACTTAATATGGACTTTAATGTTTGATACTAACATGTTTTATATTTGCTATCTTGTTCACTCTTTAATACTTTGCTTGTTAAATGACTAATCTTGATTTATGTTGTATAACACTTGGTACAACAAATGCTTGGCACTTTCATAGCCCATAATGTATGGTATAACCGACACCTGAGCTATGAAAGGAACTTGATTTGTTGTTAACATAAGTTATAATCATGAATGCTTGACGAGATTTACAAGTATTAGCATTAATTGAATAAGATGACTAATGTAATCATGTTAACAATATATAATCTGATTGGAACCTCCTTTGT